CGGTTTGATATGCTCCAACACAAACGCCTCAAAGAAGCCCCCTTTTAATTTATTCTGCTTGTGAACAAAGCGATTCTGACGCGATGCCTTCATGAAAATGTTTAGCTTTCGCAGTCAGTGGACAAGACCTTCACAGAAAGCTCAGGAACGTGCCAGCTTCAGACACAGATGGGCGCCTAGAAGTCATCAATATTTATAAAGCTGTGATTATGGAACAAGTCATAGATTAGGGCTGATTTATCCAAGGAGAATTGTGTCTCATCTTCAGCAATGGCTTGTTTGTCTTCGCTTCAAATTGAAATCACATTTAAAAAAAGATCTTTCCCAAAGTAATTCAGGCAGAAGACAGTGATCGGCTTGAACACCCAGGAGGTTTCCTGCAGCCCCCCTCCCCCCCCCTTGCCTCCGGTCTTCATGCCTCCGCCCCCTCATGAATATTGATAACCTTCCCTGCTGTGCTTAATGGTAACGCTGTGAAAAATGATGCTGGGTGTGTCACTGGCACATAATCCCCCAGGGCCATGGCACAAACTAATATGCAGCCATCCCAGACATGAAGATGATCCCATCAGCCAGGAGACAATTAGAGGTCAGAACCTGCGATGAAGAGCGCCTCATTTCTTGCCGAGACTTGCTGATGATGGAGATGCATCATGTCAAGGCTTTAAGCCAGCAAACGTAGGACGCAGTGACCAGCTGTGTGTGTGCGCTTCATTAAAAAAAAAAAAAGGCTGTTCCCTGCAGTATGCATGATGTCATCAGGGAGTGACAGCTCTGTTTTGGGCGTCATGGGAGCCTTACATCACGCAAGGAAAATGTGGGGACTTTCAAGGCTTTTTGTTCCAAAGACGAGCCTTAAATTACAGCTGCACTAAAGAAGGAATGGCATTTGAGGTTAGCTGATGCAAGAGACAAACAATACAAACAAATTGACAGTTTGACTAACCCCTCCCTTAACTAGTGATGGTCCAATTATAGCTTAAATAAATAGGCCTGTCACGCTTAAGCTTTCGCCACGTACTGAAACAATGCTCCGAATGTAAAGAGTCTGGATGGTGGTGTCTATGTTTAAAGTGGGCCAAAACCTAAATATGACGGCTAAGTATCTCAACATTGCCCCTGAATGTACCTAGAACATCTTTCGCTGTCGAGACGGTTAAGAACACTTGCTTTATGGCACCCAGCAGCATACAGACACACACACCTCTCTCTTTAGCCTCTTATAAACACACGTTCCCGTCTGTGACAACACTTTGGTGTGATGAAAGAGATAAGGGGTGAAAACTAAACAGAGAAAGGTGTGTTTATTAGTCAAAATGTATGTGTAACCAAACCTGCCGAGTAAAAAGGACTCGGCATCTATTTGGGGATCTTTAATTTACGGTATAGGCCTGAACTGTTAAACCATTCTCTGTGTGTTAAGTCCAAAGCGCTACAGGAGTTTTTCTGCGATTCGGTTTTGTAAATGACTTCCACACTGCGTCTACTCTCTTTCAACCTGATCAACTTTCATTTCTTATATTTCCCAGAATGATTTATGACAACTTGACAGAGGAGGGGGGTGAACTTGTTACTCAAAGCGCACCATGGGTTGTGGCTGCGTTGCATTTAATGTATTTCAGCTGCCTGCCTCAGATGAGAAATTGGTATCCCTGCCACTTCTGCAATGGATTATTCGGCTGTGAATGCTGAACGTCACTGAACAATAGCAGCTTTGAATCCTGATGGCTTGAAACCAAAACCTGACATGTACCATTATGTTTTAGGCAGCTGAATATTGTTCTGCCATCACCCCATTGTTATGTAATGAAAGTATCTGTTAGGCCATCTGAGAGGAGGAGATAAACACATCAAACAGCAAAGTGGTCCAGAGCTGTGAGGTACAACACCACTGACTGATCATTTAACAACTTCAACATTTCTTTGTTTGGATTTCAGTTTGAAATGTTGGCATCCTTGGGTCAACATTACAAGGAAGGAATAGTTACAAGTCACAACAGTCGCAGGAAGGTATAACAATTCTTGTGTTACAGCATGGGAATGCAAATGCAGGAGAAATATGAACTGAGAAGTAGAAAGGAGTATTTTTATGACAGGAGCATATCGGACATTGGAGATGCAATGTGATCAGACGGGTGTTGTTTCTTTTAGTTCAAGAATCACTTCCATTGTTCTTTGACAGACATAATACTGTAACCAGTACATCTTAAGCTCAAACTCCACTATTTTTGTAAATTGTTCTACGTCATTTAATCCAGTCTCAACAGTCAATTTTCTGAGATGTATGGGATCATAGTAAACAGCTTTGGGTTTTTGGCAGTTTGACAAAACAAGCATTTTTGGGACGTCACTTGAAAAAAATGTATGTTAGCTACGGCCCTAACGTCAGGCAGTCAACTTTAAAAAAAATTTTATTTAGGATGAAGGAGGATGTAAAAAAAATGCAAGAAACCATTTGGTTCATTTTTCAGGTATTAACAGTTTTGGTTTACACCCGTCAAGTAAAAAGACGATTGTGTGTCTTTATATGACAGCATGAAAACTAATTATGATTACAGTGGAAATCATGAGCATGTCATTTTTCGCTTTTAGCATGTCTGATCCACTTTTTATTCCAAGTAAGATTATTACAATATTAGTGCAACCGGCAGGGCAGGAAAACACAGTTCATGCAGATCCTGCTTAATTGATATCAATATATGTGAAGGCACAAGCTGCCTGTACAATATACTTCAAGTGTTTGACAGTAAGAATAATTGCCATGTCAAATCCTCTTGGGCTTCAACGTGTTCGTTTGATGCATGACAACTGCCAAGTTGACGAGCGAGCTATCACAATGCTTTGAGTGAGATAAAGCTTGGAGACAAATGTAAATACTTGCTTGTGATTCCCAAGAAGTGACAAAGCATTAAAACGTATGACAGTTTTCAGTCACACTATATGGAAAGGGATTTCTTAAACATCATTAATATTAGCTGGCCACAGAAAGACGGGAAACCTCAGCTAGTGTGTGGTTTATCAACACAGACAGGTTATTGTAACAACAGTTGGTGATATTAAAACACAGCTGAGGGTTAACACAGTAACCTTAGATAGATGCCAGAAGAAAAGAGGTGGGCGTTTTATTAGACTTATCAAACAGGCACCTCCTGCCACAGATGTTTCCTTAAATTAGATCCTCAACACTTCCAAGGCGTTACATTCTGGCTCTCAGCACACTGAAAGGCATGAAGCAGGGCTCTCCATTTTGCTGAGAGAAACGCGCACACGCGGCCCTGAAGGCGATACTGAAGAGATTGTACAGGATACGAAGGAGATTTTAACTAACGTGATGAGGACGGCTTATTCTCTCTGACCGGGACAAAGTGGCGAGGGAGCGAGAGGGGCTCCTCAGCCGAGAAACAGATGAGAGGACATACATCGCCTGGGTCCCCAGCGCAGCGTTTGTTGAATGTGCCAAAGTGAATCTCTTTAACACAACTCTCTGTCTGCCTCCTGAAGGGGACCAACAGCCTGTGACTTCATTTTGTCGCAGGGAGAGAAATGAAGAACCTTTCAGGCTAACCTGGCCGGGAGCGGGAAGCGTGTGGCATACAAATGACGACACTGGCTCCACCGCGCGCACTCATTCATGCGAGAATGTAAACGGTGCTGTGATCGTCTGCATGAGAAATCATATGTTGGAGGCAGCTGACCCCCCCACCCCCCACCTCCCTTCTGCCTGTCATTGTTAACAGAGGGATAATCTATTTGGTTGCATCAGAGAAAACACATTATTAGATTTCAGTATCATTTTGGAGTGTACAGAAAGGGAACACACACCCACACACACCCACTCAGAAAAGGATTATCTTGAAGAAGCTTAATTGTTTCCCAGGCAACTAGTACCCCACCAAGACGATGGCTGTGAAATTTCCGCTAGTGATTATTTTACTTTCAAATGACTTACTCGTGTCCTCCAGCTAAATCCTCCATGTGAGCCAACCTAGTTTTTTTTTTAGGGGGGGAGGTGGATGGGTGGGGGGTTGAAATAGATTAGAGTCCTCGAGGAAAACAACATCTCTTTTAGCCTCTAGTACAATAACAAAACTGGGCTGTGAGCGAGAATGAAAAGGTTAGCTCAATGTTTATCGTTAATGATGGTGGGGCTCTGATGAGACCCAGCAGGGGCGATTAATTCATGCAATAAACAAGGCCGTCTGGGGTGAAGTAATTCCAAATCGCCAGATGAGTCATACGAATCTATTTTCCTTAATCATTTGAAGAAGGTGCCTATGAACGAATGCAGCCAATCCACCGGAGAACATCCGCTTCTCCCACAAGTGTCCCTCAGTCTTACACTGACCGGCCTCCATTTTCTTTCTTAATTTGCAAGTCGAGTAATTACTGTGCCGTTATAAACAGCATCACAATCAATACATGTGTCACTTCTTTAAGTTAATAAAAAAAAGGATTGAGCACTACATCCCAGAGGCACGCCCTTTGTCAAGTCAGGAGAGACTGATGCACATGTGGTGTGCCACTCGCTCGCAACCATATCTCTTCCTCAAAGGGCTGAGAGCAGCGGCACACAATAACCATTGTCTGCTGTAAATCCCCAGCAGAGCGAGGGGGGGAACCACACAAGAATCGAAACAGCTTTTAAAGTAACACTGATGCTCATTTTCAAACATTTCATTTGCAACCATAATACTGCGATCTAAAAAGGATGTGCTTTCAACAGAGGTTGCAGCGTGCATTATGCAGCAACAACAAAGCCAGGATAGGCTACAGTCTCTCCAATTCACCTGAGATTACCATCTCAAACAAAACACAAACAACAGCATTATGGGAATGGAGACAAAAGCGAGTGCATTGCAGCGTGGCCTTTCCTTTTCAAGAGAAAGGAAGTCTTGAGAGAAGCACATTTCTGCCGTCTACATCCATTACAGCTTCAACATTTGTATGAACAGGCTTATGAGTCATTAGAGAAAAGCTTTGAAAAGATAACATCTTCTTACCTGCAGTTTGGAGGTGGGTCTAGAGTTATTTCTGCAAGCTCTTTCTGAATCCTGGAAGAGAAAATATTATTGTTAAAATCTATATTTGGAGGGCAGATCTCCTGAGGAGAATATAAGCTGAAGGAATGGACAATTCTTTATAGAGCATGGAGTCAGTGCTTAAACTTCTGAAGAGGTAAATGTCACATTTAAAATCTCACTTTTCACTCATATGCTATACAGAGCACATCATTCATGCTGGTTGTAAACTACTAAATAGGCTGTCCATATGAAGACCATCAATTAGGAAAAGCAATCATTCCAGCATAAATAAGATCAAAAATATATTGAGTTTTTATTTGTTGTTGTCTGTCTCATTGAAGTCATAAGTATGTGGTGCATACACAAAATTAAAAGAAACATCAAACATGGGGATGAACACGACTGCTTTGAAATTTCAGATAACCGTGCAAAATTATTATTCAGACTGTGAAGAGCAGCCCAGTGCAAACGCTGCTAAGCTCACATTAATATAAACACGGTACTTCAAACAACAGAGAAGCCTCTCTATCATGAAGCCCCTTGTCGGGCTGAAGGCCCTCACAGAATATACTTTTAAGTGAAGCATAGATTTACAAAAGGGAGATGTTCTCAACATTGGTCGCTGTTATAAAAAGACTCAGTGGCCTCAGCCAACCCTTTGCTCAACTGGTTACATAATCATTTGCCTGTTTTTTTTTTGGGCATTAGTGCTAAGACTGGTGAAGGAAAGTGTTGGTGGTGGTGTTGGCAGTGTAGGAAATAGCAGAGTGCTGCAGAGCATGAAGCAAAACCTATTCAAACAGGCTGGAATGGGAATATCTCTTTCGAATGACAGCAATGACACTCCAGTGCCGAGCTATGCGAGTTACCTCCTTCCTGTGGGTTTAGTGTCACACTGAATAGCATGGATGTTTGAAATGACAATGCCTGTGGGACTATAGTCTTTTTATATAACTTCACACCCTCAGGGTACAAGGGGGAGAGGCCTTTAGTTTAACAAACAACCCCTGTGTGAATGCTGCTCTCCAGAGCCAGTTTTTTTCTTACCGCTTGGCACTGGTTGAAAGTTTAGCAGCGGTTTTGCTTGAGATCTTGGTCTCCTTCTTTTTGGGCTGTTCTTGCTGTCGCTCCTGTTCAGGTGGTACCGATTCCCTTTGCTCAATATCTGAGCTTCCCCCGCTGGTGCTGGGGCTGTCGTCCGGTCTCTGTACTTCGCTGGACATCGTGGGCCCTGGAAAGTAATGTCAAACCACAACCTGTGAGAATGGCCGAGCAAATTTCCACTATAAAGGAGATACGGGCAAATTGTTTGTCAGTTTCTCAGCAAACAGTGCAGATTTGAGGGGAAGCTATAGTAGGATGGGTTTAATTTAATCAATGTACAGCTGGATGAGCCAAGCAGGGATAGTGTGAGCTTATGAAAAGACATTTGTCAAAGCTTACAGGGCGGTGAATTACAGCTGTATGGATCCCTTGTAAAAAAGAATATAATAAGCCTTTCACCTAATGATCTATTGGGGATTATATATTACAGGCTAATTGTTTGGAAGGCTTTATGTGAGTGGTCTAGATTTATAAAACAAACCTTTGTGTCATGATTCACCCCATTTCCCTTTAAACTAATTGCGGAAATGGTTGTGGTTTTGGGTCAGTTATATGGCCAGTAGATGGAAAAAAAATTGCTCTTTATGTGATTAAGTGAAGTCACCACATCTCATCGCTGACAGATCAGAAGACAAAAATGAAGAGACCATCCGTGAAGAGGAAAATTTCCCGGATTACTTCATCACTCCTTTACAGGCGACAAAGAAGCGGCTAAAATAGATACGTATCGATAGTCGAAATGTAATATAACAACAGACTGATATAAGCGATGTGATATTAAGTTAATCAAAACGAGGTAATGAAGTAGAGGACAGCTCGCCTTCCCCGGGGGGCGTTCACGGTAATGATAGGGACATCAACGCTAACATGTACCCGGTTCAATAGCCGGGGTCGATACGGAGACATGATACTCCACACAAATATACAAGTTAAAATGTGTGTGTGTTATCGCCACACACTTAAATAGTTCGGTCAAACCGGTAAAGTCAACATTTCTGGGGTGGAAAAACACAATAGGGGTCGACCGGGGGTGTGAAACCGAGCCGTCCTACAAAGCGATCATAAACATTATTGGGAGCTGGCTGACATTACAAGGCCGGGGGGAGGAGGCGGAAAGTAGGGTGCGTTACATTAGCGCTGAGGGGGTATTTTTCTTTGAAACAGCTTAACAGGCCTCGGTGTTTTAAAGTCAATGAAAAGACGCATAGAAGAAGGCGTTTCTGCCAGACTCGTCCGAAACAGCCGACGGCGGGGCTGATGGAGGACGGTCCGCGGGAGGGCCAAATGTGCGGATCTTCGCCGTTTCTGGAGTGTCCACATTGTGCGTTGGAGAGCAGTGACCCTGCCTCCGCACAAAGGGAGGCTCGTCCCACACATCCACCACCTCCCCCCTCCTCTTTTCCACCACCACCTCCTTCTTCTTCACTGAAAAAACGACACTTTTCACGGGACATTTACTTACTTTTAGCGTATCTAACGTTACGAGAGGCGGCTTAATGTGTGTGTCGATATTACCTGGCGGCTGGCCGTCGATGCTGCAATTCCGCGTGGTAATCCCAAGGTACCGAAAAAGTATATCCTCACACGGCCGTCTTCTCGCTCCCGTGTCCTAGCTATTTAACTGGAGGTAGCAGCAGCAGAAAAGCGATTACAGAAAAACTGAGGCAGCCCCGGACCGCCTCCATGCGCGCTCCCGGCTTCGCGCAATGCTCGTGCACGTGCACTGCATTGAGAGAAGTAGCCCTCAAGACACCATGGTGTTCCACTGATTCATTACTTACAAATACAGACAAATATGTTGGTAAGTACTGTTACAGGTAAACTGACATTGAGTTTGTTATTTAAGATTTCTTTACTTCTCTGTTCACGGCTGTAGACAGAAACTATGGGACCCACGTGCAGAGGTGGGAAAAGTACTCACATCTTTTACTTACGTAAAATAAGTAACAGGGTGTATGAATACTCTCTTGCAAGTAAAAGTCCTGCAATCAAAATGTGACTGAAGTAAAAGTAAACAAAAGTATTGGCATCACAATATACTTAAAGTACCAAAAGTAGAATCACTCATTGTGCAGATAGGGCCTATTTCAGAATAATATCATATGTTTTGATTATAGTCATAGATGCATTTAGTGTAATCAAAGCTGGTAGGCCAATAGGTGCAGCTAGTTTGAATTACTTTGTATACAGCAGGGTAATTTGTGATTTTTACTCCGGGTGTAACTGAAGTTTTATTTCAGTTTTGATTATATTTCAAGTCATTAATACAAATCGGCAAAGTTTAGTGGAGTAAAAGTACACGATTTACCGCTCAATTTTAGTAAAGTAGAAGTACAAAGTAGCAACAAAAATTAAACATTCAAGAAAAGTACAAGTCCCTCAAAATAAAGTACAGTACTTGAGTAGATCTACTTTATGCCCCGCTTGTGCCGGAAATGTTGCCCTCTTGAATTTCCTTCATCATGGATACGCTTACAAAGCACACAACATCCATCCAATGGCCTCCAATATGCAAACCCAGTGTTTCCCACAGAATTTGATTCAATTTGTGGGGGCACCGCACCGCACCCCTCCCCGGCAAGAAAAGCCAAAGGCTTCTTAACCTATTCGGGTGGTCCATGCATCCAACCCCCCCCCTTTCAAATAAGATAATACATGCAAGTTCATGGCTACTGTAGACAACGATATTGTTGCTCTGTGTTGCATTGTTAATGAGTGAAACACACCGGAGTTGAGGATCCGTGGGGTTTATTCTCCCAAAAATCTCATTTACGATTTACAATTCAGGCATTTCGCAGACGCCTTATTCCAAAGCGACTTACAATAACCAATTACAGGGACATTCTCCCTGGAGTAACCGAGGGCTAAGTGCCTTACTCAAGGGCACACTAGTAGTGGTGTTCCAGGCAGGATTTGAACTCGCAAGCTTCCGATCATCAGCTCACCTCACTATCCATTAGACTACCAAAAAATATATATATATATATATATTTTTTTTATGAGATCCATTTGTGGCGGATGATATTTAATTGTGGCGGCCCGCCACAAATAAATCAATGTATGGGAAACACTGAAACCCATAGTCTAATTCTTGAAATGTGAGACAGCCAATCCCAATGAGGTATTGACAGCTTGGGTGAAATCTGCAGCCTTGGGCCAACTTCCAATTACCGCTGTTAAACACTCACAGACTACGATTGCCCAGGGCTACTGCACTGTGAATGGGGCACATTTTTGAGTGCTCTGCTTAACTTTGTGAGCTTCTAATACACACTTTCCATTTAGTCTTAAGGGAATTACCCACAAAGCAGAGTGTTGTGTCATAAGAACCATAATCAGTGTAAGAGTTCCAATTTATAAACAGGAATTGGCAAAAATAAATTCTGATTCATATAACCACACATTCCTAACCTAATGATAGTTTGACGGTCACTTAAAACTGTCTATTTAGCTTATAAACAGGGAGCAAGCAATTAAATACTCCAGCTTAGAGTACAGGACATCTGCCTCACACTGCTGCATTCACTTCAAATCGGATGGATGGAGATGGGAAAGATTAATTGTGGATGTTCATTGGATGACTCAACATTGTTATAACATTTCAGAGTTAGGAGTGCACAAGGCTAACTGTGCATTGACAATTACACAGGTGAAATAAATGAAGTCTGTAGGGTTTTGGAAGTAGGCCGCAATGTCTACACAGAGCCCTTAATGTGCTTTCAGGCTGTACATGAGGTGCAAATTATAAGCTTTGAGGATGCATGCAAACAAACAAAAACATTATGCCATTCAAAGTGCCAATTTAGGTGAAGACGTGTCAGCTGGAGTAGACAATGTCTGAGCAGTAAGGCTTCACAGCTGTCGTTTGAATCTGACAATATGATCCAAAGTCCACAGTCCACTTTGTCACGTTCAATGGAATAATTCAGCAACGTTCAGTTTAGGTTTTGAAGAGAGACATATGCTGTTGGCGGCAGGTAATGTAGGCTCTAAAAAAAACAAAGGTGTTAGTCAGCTTTAATTTGAGACTTTTTTGTAACAACTTTTCATGGTATTGTGAAAATAGTTTTTTCGTGTTAATTCTTAGCTAGGCTGGCAGAACACAGAATGGTTGAGATCTTTGTATTTTCAAACCTCCCTCAACTTGCAAAGGAGTTTATTTCCTTAAAAAGAGGAACTGAAAGTCTTCAATTAAACATTATGTACACATTTTAATTATATAGTTGGAAAACCAGTATTGGCTGACATTTACAGAGTTTTGTGATATTTTTACTGCACTCCACTAATCCACGCTATCCCAAAATGCCTGCAGCACTCAAATTAAATATTTTTCTAGAAGCTAGTAAGATTAACGTGCGTACACCTAAAAATAGTTCTTTTACTTTCTTGGAAAAGTCAATGCATGAATTAAGTACTTCCAGCAACTGTTCAACAATTCTCTTAGTTCAACAGCACAGAGCTGGCGCAGCACTTTCATGGATTATTTAATTTATTTTCACTCGCTTTAAAACTGTGCAAACTCTAAGCACCCACAAATCACTAAAACACTTGTTCCATCATAACATAAGTTCAGGCATATGACCCTGAATATTCAGGACACCATGTAAATGATGATCTTATCTGACTGTGGGTTACAATGCAGATTTAAGCACTCACAAATAAAATGAAAAATCTAAACTTGTCTCCTGAAAATGTATAAAGATTTTCAACAGCAGAGATGTTTAGAAACACAATGCAGCGTAGCGTACACGAGTAAAATGATTGTAATAAGTAATATTAGTTACTTTCATGTTATGCACATCTACCATATTCATCTATTTATCTAATATAGCACCCTGAGCTTGAACTTTTATGGTGTTTACTTGTGTTGTATTCATCTTTGATGCTGGCTCTTGAAATGACCAGGGAATCGTTCTGGTTTCATTTGATCTCATACAACACATGTTTCAACTTTTAAATTCCTGCTGGCCTGATTTACATATAACTGTTATTGTTTCACATGTGAGAAGTCCTCAGTGGAGGGTCTAAAAGCGTAGCCTTTTACTGTCCCTCAGAGGTTTAATACAAAACAGCTAAAACAAGATAAGTGCAACCATATGACTTCTTCCTCTGATTATATCTTTCTTATAAGGGCCTGATCTGTGCTGACACAGAGAAGTGTTCAGAACATGTATTATATTTTGTGCAAGTTCATGACAAATTATGACGGAAAATCAAAGTGAAATAAAAACAATCTAAATTGATAACAATTCTTAAGGAGACTACGAGATGATTACGATATGAATTGGCGCGTTAAAGAAACGGTTCACATTTTGAGATACTTCTACGTATTTCCATTTCCAATTCAAACTCCTACCTCACTCCAATTCAGAGGGTGTGCTTTTCAATATGTGTACTATTCACTCCACAAGTTCTTTTAAAGCTTAAGTTAGTTACTCTATATATTTGTAGTATTTAAATACATAATATTAGGGTTTATAGAATGCAATGTACAATTGTTCAATAATAGTCATTCAATATGTACAATGATTAAACTAATATAATACGATATTATAAAACGGACAAGTCAAATCAAGCAATCTGATTGGTTCTTAGCCGTGATATACTGAGCGTATACCACGGGTAGAATTGTAAGTTACTTTTCACAACAAGTCAGTATCCCTCCGCGTCTGAGAAAAACAGTATACCGTTGGGCTAAGGGGGTTGTCGACCCTCCGCTTCGGGCTGAACCACGCCCCTTAGCTGTGATATAATGAGCATATACCACGGCCTGTCGTGAGCTATTGCTTAAGTATACAACACTATAAATGGAGACATTATTTCTGAATAAGGACTACCTTCAGTACGTTAAGTAAATAATACTTTCATTCAGTGTATTTGTTTATTCTTATCTTGTTCTTGTAAGGGTTCAGAATACTTCCGCCAGATATAAAGTTACCTGACTCAAATTGTCCCACTACAAAGCATTTTCATGCCAGTTGTAACTCTCTCTAAAAGCCCACACTGTAAATGTAAAACATGGATTGCTGAGAGCTAAAGCCTTTATTGTCTGGATTAATAACCCTGCAGTCAGAGGTAATGGCTTACTGGAAGCTCTGTTCTTTTCTTCTGCCTCCTCAAGAGTCAATCCTCTGAGATCTGTAGGAACGCCTGAGGGGAAGCTCAGTCGTAAACTACAAGGCATAAATTGTTCAATAAATGGCTCCAAAACAGCACTCAATGTAAAACTTACCCGTCCTGTGTGAAATGTCAGTTCATTACAGTCGTGAATTTCTAAGGCAGTATTCCTCAAATAAGGAAACATGTATAAATAACCATAATCTTATATGGTTCACAGTCTCACCTCCTTGTGTGTTCGAGGATCAATAAAACACACAAAGGCTCAGCGTGTGATAAAAGCGTGTCATTTTGTTTACATAGTTTTATTGGGCAGAAGATGTTTATTATAACTGAACATTTGCCACAAGGTCTGACAGAGGGTCTTTTTTTTTACAAGGGTGAACTTAGAGGCTGTAAAGGGTATGTTTGTATTCATAATGACTAAACAAGGTATCATTCATGCATTTAACAGAAGGTTGAATATTACATTTGAGGTCAAATTCAACATGATATTAAGTGAATGAGAATTTGAATGAGCA